GGCAGAAAGCCAAGCCAAGAGCACTCATTTTCTCAGCCTTCTATCACAAGCGGCCTAAGTGCACTTATCGGAAAGCAAACGCATGGGGCTGCATTACTGATGTCTGAACCCGCAGCAGGGCCTTTGTGGGCAGGCGGCTGCTGAGAAGTCAGCTGGCTTCCACCCTTCGGCTGGAAAAAAAGCTTTGGTCTCCCTGAATTGCACCTTTTATGGCCTTGATGCAATTTTCCTGGGCTTCCACACCCAACTAGCTGACACCGAACCCTGCTAGGGCTTCTGTCAAAAGGAAGCAAATGACAGTGAATAATTCTACAGCTCAGGCTGTTCTGTGTTCTTGGGTGGATGTATATGGTGTTAATATAAACAGTGTGCTGACCAAGCTTGGGCCCGGGGCTGGGAGGGGACCTGATTCATCAGGTTTCTTTGGGACAGAATGGACTGCCCTGGAAGGCTTTCTGTTTCTAGTGTTTTTTTTGGGGGGAATTGTAATAGTTACCAGAAAAGAAAAAAAAGGAAACCACCTCCACAGCTTGCCTAATCTTAAAGATATGAATTGGTCAAAATAGAGCACAGACAACACCAAATGCCACAAAAGCCCACTAATTTCTCCTGAATGGCAAGTCTTCATTATCATTCTCTCTGGTCTCAGCCCCAAGCGCACATTCTGCCATGTTCTCTTCCTGCCTCCAACCCAACTTGGAAGTTCTGAAATAACTTTTTGCCCACTATCCACAACTTTTTCAGTCCACTTTCCCCAGTGATGGGCCAAGAGGAGCTACTTCTGAAGGCCCATCCACCTCACAGCCAGTCCCTGCTGCTAAGGCAGATAAGAGAAGGAGGCCGTTTTCACAGTCATGAACCTCATGAATCTCTTCTATGCAGTTATGGTGAGCTGACCATGTCCTCGCTCCAACCTGCTTTTCTCAGGTCCCATTAAGCGGAGAGTCTATGAACTGTCTTAAGGGAAGTGTGTGCTATCATCAGAGAGTACAGCAGGTAATGCATTAGTTAAAGATTTGCTTCTTGGGGCCAGGAATGTATAATGTCAGGGGCCTTACTGATCATGGTTGTGCCACCCGCTAAGGCGGCCTTTGTCCCTTGGAAGAAGTCATCCACTGTGGTCATCCCCTTGTAGGGCATCTGGAAGTGAGTGTGGACATCGATGCCGCCAGGAATCACCATCTTCCCATTGGCCTCGATGGTCTTCACTCCTCCAGGGACAATCAGGTTGTCTCCGATTTGCCTGGTGAGACAGTGAACCAAATGGCAATTTAAAAGAGTGGCTTTGAAGAAAAACATAATATTATAAAAATTTTAAACATTGTTACATAGTTATCAAAGTACCCTTTGCAAGTGATTCACAAGTTTAGCAACTAGAAACAAGTAAAGATAGGTATACGTACAGAAAACAGTTTTTACAGACACAAAACAATCCAATATGCTATTTGGTAGAACCATGTGTCCTGGTTTAGTATTGTAACCCCAGGGGTTTGATAGTTCCTAGAATATAAGGTGTGAAATAAACATTTTTGAAAATATCAATATTTTTATTATCAGTTTCATTTTGTTCTTTTAGTTAAGGATGAAGAATAACATTTAGAAAGGGATCGTAAGAGTATAAAATAATTAACTGTTAGGAGAGATTTCAGGAGGTAATGAATTATTTAAAGAACTGATATATGAACTTAGCCATCTTCTAAGTGGGTTCATCTATGCTCCTAACAGAAAAAGAATCTGTGTGGGGCCTTTTGCACCTCAGTCTTCACTCCCAACTGCACCCTTCTCTGATCATTTATCTGTCAATCACAGCTGAAGGCAGATGCAAAAGGAGGAAGCCAGTGATGCAGACAGCCAGCCCCAGCTACTTTGTTGGGGTCAGCATCTCAGTAGAAGCTTCAAACCAAGGAAAGATGATTATGACAATCTCCACCAGACACACCTTCACCCAGGAAACTTAAGAGCATTCCAGGGAGGAAGAGTGGGGGACTCAGGTGGAGAGGAAACCACTGTGTATGCGAAAGTCACACTACACACAGCGAGTGACAAACACAAGCACTCCTGACACACAATGTCACCTCACAGACCATCTTATGTTGCTTAGATTTGAAGTGATTTCATACCTTTGATTTAAATGGCCTGTTAAACCTGTCCAATATGGATTCCAGGTAGAACTGTGATTCCTAAGCCTCTACATTGTCATTAAACATCTCCTACGTTGAGGATACATGTGTCCCACCACCGATGGCAGGAATGCTTCCCTTTGTTCATAGCTGGCCAGGAAAGACACTCCCTCGGGGCGGTAAGAAGTCCATCCTGGCCTGCCAAAACCTTAGTTCTGCAACTAAAGCAAAGTACTCCTGACATCTCTAAGAGTTCGACTTCACCACATCACCACGGGGCCATTCCAGAGCCACCACAATTCAAAACACACTGTAGAAAAAATGCAGCCTCTGAATGTAACCCCATTCTAGTCCAGAAACTGGCCAGCTGTGTTCTGTTTTCCTCCCTCACTGATTTTTCTCGGACAGAAATTGAAAACCAAGGGCACATTGCCTGGCCCGTGTGTATACGTATATATATTTCCACCATTTTGACAAATGGTATGACACCAAGTCTGAAACAGAAATACCTTCCCCCCCTTTTCCCCACCAAACTACTCATGGTCACATTAATCCTTGAAGGCTCAGCTTCCATCTCCCTTCCTTATTCATGTTTCTGCTGACAGCCAGATCTAACAATTAAGAGTGTGGATAGCTCTGGATGTGGGCTATCTAGATGCACAGGCTTGGTTCTGCCAGTTACTAGCTTTATGACCTTGGCCAAGTTACTTAACCTCACCAGGTCTCAATTCTTTCATCTGTAAAGTATAATAAAAATACCTCCTATGGGGTGGTCGTGTAGATTAACTGTTAAGATGTGTTAGCCCCAAAGAACACTGTTAAGTATATAAGAATTCAACAAATGTCAGCTATTATATTACCCCCATATAGGCCTCTTCTTCTTCTGAATCTCATCTATTCTACTAATGTAATACTTGATATTACTATTATCAGATAATGTTATATCGGTCCTTTGCATACATACAGATTTCTCAGTTTGCTTAAACGACTATAAGGTCCCTGGGGGAAGAAAGCATGATGGTTTGGGTCTCTAATGGTATCTACCATAGTACGGGAGAGAGCAAGTGTCCAGTTACCTAGACAACTGCTTTGCACTTAGCAGGCACTTTATAAATATTCACAGGAAAACAACAATCTAATAATTGGAGGAAATTACAGACACTCCTCGACTTACGATGGGGTCACATCCTATCATTAATTGAAAATATTGTAAGTTGAAAATGCATTTAGTACTTCGTAGCTTAGTCTAATCTACCTTTAATGTGCTGAGAGCACTTAGATTAGCTTACAGTCAGGCAAAATCATCTCCCGGCCGCTGCCCAGTATCACGAGAGAGTATCACACCGCTTATCACTACACTAGTCCAGGAAAAGATCAAAACTCAAAATTCGAGGTTGAAGGTGTAACACTTTCATACCACTATAAGAGTTGAAAAATCCTAAGTCGAACCATCATTAGGTCAAAGATTGATCGTATTTCTGTTTTCATGCTCTGCAAGTTAAGAATGTTGTTAGAGATACACAAAATTTCAGGATTGCATGAAGATCATGTTTATCCAACCTTCTCTCCACCACCAACACATATATCTGATGTTTAAATTTCTTCTATAACATCCTTGGCAAGTGACCTCCTAGTCTATTCTAATAGAAACGGTGAAAAGGATTCATTTTACATATTCAACTGTGAGAATAGATACCTAAATCACTGTGTGAAGATGGATTCTCAGCCTGGATTTAAGGCTCGACTATGAATAGTTCTATGATCGTTAGTGATGCCTGTCATAAGCTCTGCAATGAGGAAGAAGCATTAGGTACTACCTTTTTCCCCATCTCTAAATCTCCAAATGAGAGAATTCACTACCTCCAAAGAGAGCCAACTATATACAATAATTTTCTAGTAATAGAAAAATATAAAATCTATGGTTCATATTTTGACAAAATTATTGTTTTTTGTTGGTTAGCTTGCCTCGTATTTCCATCCGCCCTACTCCTAATATGAAAAAGTATTTCTGTAAATTGGCAAGGCAACTAAACACCAATGCCTTTATTCTTGCATTTGTTCGTTCATTCATTCATTCATGCATTCAATGTATCTGATTAATATGTTGAAATTTGGCAAGTTATTTACTTTCTCTGCTCTTCTTTCTCCTCTTCTGAGAAGAAGGAAATAATAGTGCCCACTTCATAGGATTGCTGGCAGATTAGATGAGAGAAGGCATGTAAAACATTTAACACAGTGCCTGGCACATACTACATACTCAATAAAAGCTACCTCTTATAAAAGTGCTAAGTGCTTTAAGTGCTCAATACGGGGTTAAGTGCTGGGGATATGGAGATGAACAAGACATGGTCCTTGCTCTCGAGGGGGCCTAACGGTGTCAGAACTGCTATAATTGATAAAAGCACAGGGTGTTTTGAAAGCTCATAGAAGGGAAAGCTAGCCTACATTTGAGGGCGGGTAGGGAATGTCCACCTACAAAAAGTTATTTCTAAGCCGAGTTTTCAAAGATAAGTAAGAGGTCTCCTATAACCAGAATCTTAAACTAGCCAATGAAGTTGAGTAATATAAAAATACAAAAATAAAACTGAACGAGGTCAGGGATGGTGAATAGGATGAACTGGATACACCGGTTTCATACAATATCTTATCATTGGGTGGTGTCCCTTGCTTTAAATGATGAAAGGCTATGTGGAGACCAAAATATTTTTTAAAAGTCACTGTGTAAGGAACCTGCACATAAAGCTTACCTGGCTATGCTACTTATAGGCATCCAATAGCAAATTATTTTCTAAAGAAATTAGACATCCCTAAACTATTTTGAAATCTTGCCAGAAATGTATGTTCTATCTGCGTCCTGCCCATCTAAGTTTTACTTAAGTCAAGGTTCAGTTTAAATACCCTCTCCATTCCAAAAAGAAAACAAAACAAAATAAAAAATAACAAAAAAAACCCTCCTCTGAAGGGATTTGTCCTTATATTTTTAGGGTGCTATAATTTGCGCACATTTTTGTATTTTTAAGGGCATTTCTCCATTTCTCCAAGACCCACAGAGTGTCCATTAATGCAGCCTGCACAAAGGGACCCTTGGCATCATTTGGGTGATTTGAATTCAGATTTTCACTTCACTCATGTAATCTAAGTGAATTAAGGCTAGCTCCCACTTTTAAAGGATTATATGCATCCAGATTGAAGGACTAAAATAAAGACTTGTTTTCAAGGAAAAGAAACAATTAAATACAGGGAACCATCAGCCCAGTAAGCAAAAAGTAGCAAGCTTCTTTCTGAGCCTCTAATGGAGAGAGAAAGTACAAAAAGATACAGAGAAGGGATTTATACACCTACTTTATTAAGCCATCTTCCATGTAAATATCAGCATAAAAAGATTGATCATCGTTGACGATTCTGCCTCCCTTGATAAGAAGACGGTCACTCTAGAAAAGAAGGAACACACAAGTCATTCTCACAGCTAAGATTGCAAGGAAAAGCAGTCTAGAGGTCTAGTAGAAACACATTTACTAAAGACATCTGTGTGCTTGATGCACTCAATAATGAACTGGGTATATTTGTTGGGGATCTAGTCTTTCTTGTTTGCCTCTAATTCAAATTATTCTGGAGTTTCACCTCTTGCTTCTGCAATCTATCATAGCCACTCAGAAACCTAGCCACTTGAAGGAATATACTCTTTTTATTATCTTTTCTGCTTCAGTAAGCACTCAATATACAAAGTAGGATAATATATACGTCAGTGCCTAGCACCCAGTCTGGTATTCTGTTGGCACTCATTAGTGATTCTCAAAAATAGAACTTAGGATCAGGCATATATATATAAAACAGCCTTTAAAAATCTTTGTAATGACATGGGGATCGTGTTATTTTTAAAATTCAGAATACTTATGCATGTATGCATACATGCACACAAAGTTATGGATTGTATAAGAAAACCACTCGATGGAAAAAAGACAAAATATCTATAGTGTTTAACTCGAGGTAGAGAAATTATGCAGGATTCATATTTGCTTCATTATACTGTCTTTCTCACATTTTCTTCAGTGTATTTCTTTAGTGCTTTGATTATTAAAAATTGCTTTTTCTTAGGAGAAAAGTCTTTAAAAATTATAACTTACATGAAGTATGGATAAGTGACCCAACTGGAAACAATGCACACATACTCCAAGACTATTAACAAAATATACACACATTTTATATATAAGTCAGAAGAAAGACAAATCAGCACCAGCTTTAGAGATCACAGATTTCATTAAGTGAATGGAGCTTAGACTGCAGCATGAATGATGGATCAAGCTTTGTTAGGTTCATGGGGGAAGAAGAGAATTCTTAGGAGCCTAGTTGAGTGGAACTATAGAATGAACAATAAATGGTAGGTTGGATTTTGTTAAGAATTCAACTTAGGACTTCAACTCCATCCATCCAACCAATCTTCCTTTCTTCCTTTCTTCCTTCCTTCCTTCCTTCTTTCCTTCCTTCCTTCCTTCCTTCCTTCCTTCCTTCCTTCCTTCCTTCCTCCCGCCCACTCGTCCTTCCTTCCTTCCTTCCTTCCTTCCACCCACCCACTCACTTGTTCAGCAAATAATTATTTAAGATTTATTATTAAACAGATGGGGAGGGTGCGATTATGAATAAGTCACACCAAGTCACAGCTTTTATGGAACTTAAAGGGGAAGCTGGCAGTAAAGAAAAAAGAACATGAACAAAACAAAACGTAAAACTGTATTAAGTGTCACAAAATATATGGAGGCGGGGAGGGCACTTTTTTAAATAAAGGCTGGAAAAGGCCTTTTCAGGAAAGATCAATTTAGATAGTTGTGGGGATGGAGAACCACAGGCAGATGGAGTAGTGTGTGCAGAAGCCCTGAGGTAGTAGTTTTTTTTTTTCCTTTGAAAACTCGAAAAAGATCAATGTGGAAGGAACTTAGAAATCAGGAGGGAAGTGGTATGAGAAAGTTGTTGAAGTAGGTGCTGGATTTTCAGAAAGGACAAGCTGACTTCTGGCTACAGAAATAAAAGTGAACAGGGCCAAAAAAAAAGAGAATTGAAAGTAGGGCTTCATGGGGAATATAGCCAATTTCCACTTAGTTTCTCCTGCTTCCAAGGTATGGCATGAGAATAAGAAATTTCATCGTGCCGTATTGCCAGGAGAGAGGATTTTTAGAAGATACATATCAACGATGCGCTTAGGAAAGAACCCTACGTATGTGGCAAGGAAGACGTGCCGATGAGGTCCAACTCCCACCACGCATGATCCACAGGCCCCTCGTGACCCGGCCTTGGTCAGTATGTCCGCCCTCATTTCCATCACGAATTGCCTTGTATTTTACACGGTGGCAAAACTAAGAAACAAGTCATTCTTGTCATATATCAGGCTCCCTGGCCACCAAGCCTTTGACAAGATGTTCTCTCTGCCTTCTCATACGTTCTCTAACCATTCTGTCCTCTGCCAGCCTCCAGTCAAAGGGTTTCTCCCCTAGGACACATTACTTGATATTCCAGCAAATTCCACCTGCTCCCTTTACAACTAAGTTCAAAAAATTATATTGTTTTACAATAGCGGCTTTATTGTTCATTTTTTTCCCGACTAGAGCACACACTCCTTTATTCTTAGAATCATGTGTCTTTTGATCTTTTTACCTTAGTTCCAAGAGTCCATCCTTAGCAGCTGTTAAATATTGGTCATATGAATGAAGAGTAGGACACAGGAAGTTGTATTATATAAGTATAACGGTAAGGCCATCTGAGACAGAAAATTATGCAAAGTGACCAAAAAATTGGACTTCTAAGAAATTTTTTTTTTCAGTTGTAATCTATTATAATCTACTCTGTTAACAGTAATTGAAAAATTATAGAGGCAGTCCTAGGACTGTGCTTCCTAAACTAGGGTGCATGTTAATAAAATAAAGATTCCCATGGCCTGCTCTGGCCACCAAATCTGTATTTTACAAACTCCACACCTGGCTCTTATGCAGCCATCAGCCAGCCCAGGGCCAAGTCACAGGCCAATAGCAGGAACCGCTGCCCCAGGCACAGTTCTGTGCATCAATGAGGGCGAAAAAAGCATCTCTAGCAGGAGCTTCATGGTAATAACAATCTTGGTAACTATAAGAGTTCCTTCTCATAGCTCAGTGCTTTCCTGATGTTCTTTATCTTTCCAGCAAAGAGCTGAAGTAAGCTGTTTTTGGAAAGGAGCCAGTTACTGACTGAAGTGACACCAGCTATGAAACATGACCATCTTCTTACCTGGGGACATCTAGCCCTGAGCCACCGGCATGATGATCACTTCCTTCAACAAATATTAAATGTCAGCACAGGGGCAAAAGCTATATCAGGCCCAATGTACATCAGGGGGATTAGTAAGAGCTGATACGAGTGGCAATAACACCATTGAGATGGGGTGTTTGGAAATTCTTTAAATGATAATTAAATAAACCTTCTCTGGCTCAATAATCAGGAATCTAAACAGGTACAGCACAAAGATAAGTTACAGGCCTGGTGCAGTTTCCAGAGATGGGAGTACCAAGACCCATGCTCCACGGGCTGTAGTATTCATGTTATTATTTGTTTTCATCACGCAGGGCAGAGATAGCAAAACCTCAACTCACAGAGCTTCAAACAGATGCTGCCCCTGTGGTCCTCAGCTTGCCCCCCTAAAGTGGTTAATAACACTGCTTTAATAATTTTCTTTCTTTCCATGCCTGTGGGATGGGATCCACTACAAAGGGCAGCCCAGGCAAACTGTCATCAGACACAGAAGAAGCTGAAAAGCAAGTCAGCCTGGGCACCGAAGAATGACACACTACTGACCACACCCAAGGCACATAAAACCAAACCTCACTGGTTACAGAACATGCTTGTTTGTGAATTCATAAACCAGTTTGATAGAGTAACACACGCTAGGGTCAAAAACCAACAAGAAGAACAAATCTGATGCCTAAGATTGAAAGGCATCCTAGATGATGTGAGAGGTGACTGGTGAATGTGGCTTTGTGGGCTCTTCACCTTCTGTTCTCGGCAGCTAAAGTTGTCAAGCACACATGTGCTGATGCCCGAGGAGGTACGATGGTTTAGCCTAGAGCCTACTATTTCTCATGTAATGACAGTGTAAAGAATGACGGTATTTCTAGAGCACATTGGAAGGCCCTGGTGGGTATTTGGAACCCGAAACAAAGCTATTCGAATCTGAAGCAGTCAGCAGAGAACTCTTCCCATGGGAGTGCCAGTCATACCAGAAGGCAAGCTGGGGTCCAGCTGCATTCTCCCACCACTGGGAGAATCGGGTAGACCACTTAACTGGGTGTGTAGTCTTGAGTTAGGACTTAACCTCTCAGGACCTTAGTGTTTTTATTAGCTCAGAGTAGATAACAACACCTAGCTCATTGCACAGGGTGGCTGCCAGGAAGAAATGAGGGAAAAAAAGTGTGTGTGTGCGTGTGTATGTGTGTGTGCGCGTGCATGCGTGCGTGTATGTGTCACATATAAAAATATCTAGCACGGAGTAAACACCTCTAAATATTAGCTATATTTATTTCTTTCATATTATGTATAGTACCTTCAAATTTTTAAAAGCCTTAAAAAGTATGTTGAAGTAGGAGGACTGTTCTCATTCCCGAAATGGGGAGCATATACACAGAGAGGTAAATGACAGAGGTGATGAGTTCCAGCTGGAAGCAAATCCAGGTCTCCTACCTTGTGGCACCACATTGATTTCTACCTGTACCAACCGTCCTTAAACCTTATGACAAGTGGCTCTTTCTGACAGACTCTCTTCTCTGTTTGATACTCAACCTGACTGTTCCAGTGCTGACACTGCTAACCCAGTTCCCCGTGGTGGCTAACTTTAGAAATCTCATCATTTTTTTGCCACTACTTAGAAAATCAATGCGTTAAACCTGCCCCTCATGGCCCGAATGTGTTGATGCAGCTTATAATTTATAATCCAGGGTAGCACAGACCCTGGAAATCTGATAAAGTGATAAAGTCAAGGTCCAATCTTTTTTCCTTCACTAAGCGATAATAAGAATTAAGAAAACGACTAGAAAAAAAAAAATAGGAGTTTGTAAGAAAAAGGGAGAGAAAAGAGGATGGGGGAGGCGGGGAGGAAAGGCAGGAGGAAGTAAACTCTACAGTAAGGGATGTCGTTGAGAACAGCTGTGATTCAAACTAGAATGGAGAATGAAAGGACAGAATTTTGGACTCAAGCCTTTTGGAGATGTTGGCTGCCATTTTGATTTTCCTCATCTAGTCTTTAACTTAAACAATTTAAACTGCCACCTCCGTCTATCAGAAGTAACAAGACCATGCCCCCAGAGCATTCAGAGCCCTCCCT